ATTCAGTGAAAGTGGAAGCAGCAACGGAACCAATCGGGAACCAGATACTAGTAAGAGCAACCGTATGTAGAAGGCCAACATAGGACCAGGGGGAAGGCTCAGGAGTACCAGAAGGAGCAAAGAATCAAGCTCGAGGAAGAGATATGATAAACAAACGAACGGATCCCTAGAAGGGGGAGTACGCTCAAGGCAGTGAAATGGAAAGATTCTCTCCGTGAATCAGTAGTCAATCTGTGTAAGGCCTTAGCCACGATAACCGTAAATGCTTTGTTCTGACATTGAAGAGGATCATCAGTTGATGCGAAAGAAACTATCTGCGCATGATTTTCCCATAAATAAAAGAAGTGCACGCATTGGCAAACATACTTCAAAAGAGTTGTCTTTGTTGAATCAACATTTGATAAGTAACCAAGCAGAAAATACGAAGACGAAAAATAAGTTATTTAGCTCTTCTCTGTCAATCCGATGACCTTAAGTGGGAACTGAACTTAGTCTTGCTGTGGAGGTATAAAAGAAAAAAAGGTCAAGTTGTAATCCCCGAGCCGAGGGCTAGGTCTATTAACAAAATAAATTCATGGGTGTCGATCAGCAGTGGCATTCTGCCCCAGAGATGAGTCGATCCTCTACAACCTTTCGGACAGGAAATAGAACCAGACTGAGTCAAGGGAAGAAACCAAGGTCTTGACAGAGCCTGTCCGAAAGTAAAGGAAATTAGCTAGCAATCACAGGAAAGCGTACAAAGACTTCAGTCTTGAATAAGCAATTGGATTAATGGCCAATTCGTCCTAAAGTATTGTTACATGTTACTTCTTGTTGATTTTCTATTGTAATCGCCAGGGCCCAAGATTACGGTTAAAGCATAGGCTATAAGAATCAAAGGAATACCATGCGTAAATGACTTAGAGTGAAAACCAGGCAAAGTGCTTGCCTTACTTACCCGGCTCAAGGGGTTCGCCAGTTGAATCCGTTTCTTCATCTCTCATGAGGACCTCATATCCAGAAAAGCTTACATCGACCACAGGAGATGGTACACTAAGTGGCAGTTTTAGAAGACAGCTCTATCTAATTCAGTGAATGTTTCTGACTTTATAGAAGCCACTGCAAGGGCATGTGATGTTTCTGTGGAAGGTAATCATAATGCATCAAGAGGTAGGTTATTTTCCTCTGACTCTGCAAAGGATGATTCTTTGAAGTCAATATTCGGAAGGAATAGAACTAGTGGCAAGAAAAAGAAGTGGGTTAAGCAGAGTTGTTCAGTTGAAAAGGGTTGGGAACGGAGTATTGTAAATTCCCATAGGAATGTTTTGCTTGACCACGGGGACAATGTTGGGAGCAAATGTTACCAAAATTCTGCCCTTTTAAAATGTAAGGACCATTCGGTGGGTGTGGCTCATTTTTATCTACTTATGAACGGTCTCCTTCAAGATTATCATGTCCAAAGACACCACAGAGAAACTTCAGCGCACCAAGGTCTCCCATCAATTTATCTATGAAGGTACATGGACAATATCTTTATTATAGTTTCTTTGGAAAAAATGTCCATAGCTGTTGCATAGACAACTTATGAAATTCTAGTTTACTTTGAGTGCTGTGGACTGTGTTACCATACATGGTGCATCTCTAAATTTGAAAGCTCCTCCAAATGCATCCCTAACTAGGAGACCTGAGAACTCTTTCTGCCCAAGCGGTGATATAATGAAATTTTCAAAGTATATTTACTTTGAAAGCCATGAGTAATTCAAAGATTTTGTGAATTTGAAAGCTTTTATAATAGCAAAAAGAATGCTATTTGATCCATTTAGGTGATGAAAATGGTTTTGTACATGGTAATAGAAAAAATGATTAATAATGTCTACAATGAAATAGATTCATATAAATATTTATGAATTGACATAAAAGTCTTAAAAGAAAACTATGGAAGTATGATTATATTTGAAATCTATTTATTGATGTAAACTCTTATATTGAGTTAAAATATAAAAGTTTTGGAACTTTTATTGAAATATTAAGATATCAACTAGTTATCTTTCACTAAAGATGGATTTGAAGACCTCCTACTTAAAAAAAAAAATCACCAAATAGTGAAAAGATAAATAAAATGACAACTTGATTAAGTATATATGATATCTTGATAATTGAATGAGATATTCTTTAATAAAAGAATGCATACTTGCATATGGTGGGGGTGATAAGAATCAAAAGAAATAAAAATTAGCACCATAATGTTGTAAGATTTTAGTATAATTTTATGAATAAATTATACCAGCTAATAAGTTTCAACACTTATTAAAGTCATAAAAAGGCCCTTAAAATCTTAAAAGGACTAAAATCATTTGGTTTATTCATTGAGTTTATCCAATTGTACTAAAAGTATAATTGCATTAAAAATGTTTAAAAATATGGAAATATAATGGTTGAAATTGATAAATATAGAATTGTGCCACAACTAAAACCAGCTATTTCTTAAAATGATAAGAATGAGGCAACAATGTCTAGAGGATATAAATGATATGCAAAATGAAAAGTTTGAACATATTAGCCTAAAGTGATTATATTAGAGATTTAATCTCAAGTTGGGGTAATTACCATAAAAGAAAAAACTGAATTCCAAGATATTTGGTTAGTAGTACTACAAGTATAATGGATTTAAACCCTTACTATTGACACCAATAATGGTAACCCAACTTTGAATTAGTAACCTATAATTACAAATTTTAATGGGTAAAAACGAGTTATTGTTATGTGTCTGTTAAACACTAGTAAAATCCATTCAAATTTTAGAAACTAGTGTGATCAGTTACCTGAAAAATGATGAGTTTTTATACTCTTAATGGAGTTTTAAATATCTAAAGCAATGGAGACATAATGAAAACTCTACCCATATAAACGTAGAAGTGGTGCCGCTTCAATAAGAAGAATTGGGGTCTCTCTTGTAAATATTTTTTAATAGGATAAGCACATGGCCATAATAGTGGTAATAAACCTCTGATAGAAGAATAAATAAGTATTATATGTGTTATATCTTCAATTCTAACACTAAGAGTTGAGATTTAATCTGTCGACACCGTCAACTTCGTTAGAATTCTAAGATATATACGCTAATTGAAGGTTTAAATCGAGAGATACCTTTTTGTATTCATAATATTTATTTGTGTGAAAGGTAAAAAATTAAGCACCAACATTCCAAACTAGTGGGAGATTGTTGGTAGTTTAGAATGTGGTGCATCTCACATTGGATAGAAATATTTAATTATTGATGAATAAAATTAATTTTTGTATTAATTTTATTTATATTTTAAATAATTATGTTTGAATAGAAACAATTATTATATGACAAATAGTCATAACTATTTGAATATAAATAGATTACTATTCATAAAGGTCATGATTATATAAAAGCTCATAACCATCTGAATAGAAGTTTATGTCTGTTCATACATTATAAATAAATCTTTCAGTATAACCATTTTGACTGCTTCTGATTGGAGAGTTTGAGGCTTTGTTGTATCCCAAAGGCATAATTGTCTTTAAGAAAATGTTCTTCATGCCTCAAAGCTAAAATTCTTTTATATCATTTCTCTTCTCTTATTTATTTTTTCTAACAATTAAGAAAACTTTATCTCTTTCTTTCATGGATAGAATATGAGCCAATTTCAATTCCTAAACTTGATATTTGTTTGCTTGAAGCACTTTCTTTACCTGTGAATGAACATGATTGAAGACACAAACTTATGTCTTTTTTACTTTTATTTTCTCGAAAACCAAATAGGAAAGTAATTTTAGATTTGACCTAAATGAGAATTAGGTGTTGATTTCTAGAATGTTTCATGTATTCAAATTCTTCTCCAAATGTAGAGGAAAGCGCCATTGTCAATCGAAAAATTCTAACTTTAAAATCAAATTAGTATATAAAGGGTAATTTTGACCAATAAAAAATATCATCTTATCCTAATCTTAATTTTGCACATAACAAACATGATGAATGATAAAATAATATTTTATCTTGTTCTTAATCCTTACACATATCAAACATAACATAAGTTAATATAATTTAATTCAATTCTATCTATATTCTTATATTATCCTATCATATCATATTCTTATGTACTAAGTTCCTTTGGTAATTATTTATGCATATAATTATAGATAAGATAGGATGATGGTTATTTAATATTATGTTTGATTTATATCTAAAGAAAGGGATATGATTATAAAAAGTATTAATCATCTTGGTATAAGATTATTCAATTCTCTCAAAGTGGAAAGAATTATTTTTAATCTATAGGATTGAATTTACATTTTTTATTATACTTTTAAAAATTATATCAATAATTTAAATTGTATAAATTTTAAGAAAAAATAATTTTAATCAATAAACAAACCATTCTATTTTAATCCTTGCAAATATCAAATATAAATTAATATGATATTATTTAGTTTACTACTAATTATAACATCATTTTCTCTTATCTTATCATAGTTTTATGTACCCAACATACCCTTCATGTATACATTCAATTCAATATGATATTGAATTCTTCTATTAATGCGTTAATTTATTGATTGATTATATATTTTATTTATTTCATTGATTTTTTATACAGATATAATTTTTAATTATGATTGTAACTTTATTAAAAAAATATTTGGATATATCTAATTTACTTGCACCGAAAATAACTATATAATAAATTTACACAAATGATCTCGAATCTCTGATTTCCCTCCTGTTTTCCCCATGTAGAAAGATTAAGTTGGCTTCTATGCTATGAAGTATGAAGTCTGAGCTAATATGGAAACCATTTTCTCCTCGATTATTTTCCCTTTAACAAAAATGTGAAAGTCGTTTTCTACCTGATTTTCCATTTTCTCCTCAAGCCTATAAGGGCATTTATGTGGCATATAATTAGTATAATTAAATTTAAAGAAACGAAAACAAAAATATTCTGAACACTCCATTGAATTGGAGACAAAAGTTTCAAATTTAAATAATAAAAGCATTTACCTTGCAAATTGATATTGGACCACCAAATTTTATTAGTATCAAAATGCAAAATATTACCAACCCTAAATTCCAATAATCAACAGTGAACAAAACATTCAGAAATGTTAAAACACCAAAACTGTGCAAAATCATCAAATCAAACCATTTCAAAAGTTGATTTCAAAAGCATCCTGACTCCCGAGTTGCTTCTGTTATTCCAGCCATGAAGGATAAGCATCAGAATTCAGCCAGATGCAGTCTTTTTCTGCTGGAAAATGACAGCATAGACGGGAACAAAGACACCAATGCTGAAGGCTGTGAAAACACCAAGAGACATCTTGAGCTTTTGATGTTTCATCCTGTCCAAGTTGTACATATGCTTAGCATGAAGGTAATATGGTTCATCATGGCCATGCGCATGGCCTCCTCCCATCCTCTTCACTCCAGTGGAATGAAACCCTCTATTGGCTGCCAAAAACACAACAAAAATAGTTCTGTGAGTTTATGCATATAGTACCAAAAAGCATAGTTCCAACATTAAAAAATAACAGCAAAAAGCCGAATTTCCTGAACAGATCCTTTCAACATTAGATAATTCTCAAATATGCTCAGAAGCAGAATAAAGAAAGAAAAACTCCAATGGTAGCTAGGAGAGAACCACCAATGTGCATTACAAATTTTTCCTTTTTTGCCAAATTATAGATGTCATCTGGGCTATTACTATTCATTTCAGATTTGATAATGGTATCACTCGTAATAAAGAAAATGTATTTGCACATAATGAAACATGATTCAATGCATTTTAAACAACCATGAACCCGCTTAAACAACTTTCATACACAACATATTGGAATTGCAATTAAGGTTCTTTCCATATTTAACAAGCATTAAATAGCAAAACAATCACAGATATTTGCAAGGTGCCTTTAACTTCGGAGTTGGCCATTAGTCTACCAATTCATAACCAACTTGCAAAATTAGCATCCAAGCATAGGTCCTTTTAAGATTCTCATTCAAACCCAAAAGTTGCAAATTTAGCTTCCAATCATAATCCAGAATCAATGGAATCATATCTCACCCCTAAGTGGAGGACATTCAAGCCAGAAAAGATGACAGTTTATTCTGCATCAGCGTAGAAGTCAAAGCACTCAGGAGAGGTCAAATCACAAGCAACAGCAGAAACCTCTTTCAATAAGCCCATTTCTTAAGAATTTAAACTGAAAAATTTTTGCACTATCAGAATTAGTGGACCCTTTAGTACATAAGAATGAAATAACAAAGGGAATTTCTTGTTCTCCTTTCAATTGGGAACAAATAATCTGAAAGAAAGCCTAAACAGTTACAGAAGAACAAGGGTCATCCAGTTATTCACTCACTCTTCTATTTGCTTCTTCATTTTGAATTTTTCTTTGACCTAGCCACTATAATTGTTGGTCATATAAATTCCACTATAATTCTTGTTCTCCTTTCAATTGGGAACAAAAATTCAGCAAGTGAAAGACCCAGAAACTTCCACACAGCCATATATTTGCAAAGGCAGCCATTTTCAAAAGTGTAAACAAAGGCTAGGGCTCTAGGATTTGTATAGTATGTCAACAAATGACTTGGCTGCAACCCACGCAATTTATTAGGATTATAAACCAAAATACGAATTAAAATGCAGTCTATTAGAAAGATCATTGTGAAAGCAGTGTTGCCACAATACTATTCACATCATAAAACATGCTTGGATTTATTTGGGCTACAAAATGGCATTCCACATAGTATAAGATAACGAAGTCACATCATTTAATTGTAGAGGTTCCCGAAACTAAATCTATAAGCAAAATGCCGATTAATGGGCGCTAGCAATCAACATACTACGACCACATAGCAATTCACAGAAAACGTCTAATTTATTTACGGAAATATTGCTTATAGACAAGAAAAGGTATTTGCTAGCACTTTTACCCTCATAACATAAGAAAGTTTCATTCAGCTCTTGACATATAGAATTTCCCAAAGTCAATAAATCCATTCATTTAAAAGAATACATATCATCTGAAAACCTTATGATTTTTTAATTCAATAAAAAACACACAAAATAAATCATCAACAAACAAAATAAAGAAAGAAGAAAACAATAAAAACCCATCAAGCAGATTCATATAAACAGGGTTATAAACCCTCTATGTGCAGCAAATAACAAAGAATTCCTAATACCCAGATGCTCATCTTCCTTATTCTTCTCTATTTTCTCAGCCACTAATCAGAACTTAATTATAAAAAAAAAAAAAACCCAAATTCACTGCTGGGCCACTGACCTGACTTGGAAAGAAGCGATTGAGATGACGAAGTCAGAAGCATAGAAGCCGATCTCATCCCACCGTTCAACGCCATGGCCTTTTTTTTTTTTTTTTCACAAAGAACTCAACGGTTGCTGTTTTCCAATTCTACTAAGGGACCCCGACTGTTTATTATATTCTCCAAACGTGTGGGGATTGAACACGTGTGATTGGTTTGAGTTAGCTGGGTAGGAAGTTGGAACCCCTAGCGGATCGTCACATGAGCCTCCTTAGAAATATGTCTATATATTAAATAAATTTAAATGGTTTCCTTCAAATTAAAATTATGTAATTTTTTATTATATACATGATCTTATAATTTAATTTTATATATATCACATAGAGGGATTAAAATTATATGTCATTACTAGTTTCTTACCTATGCATTTGCACGGAATTTTTATATTTATAATAATATTTAATTTAATTAATTAAAATTTTCCATAGAATTTTTGTTTGTATCATTAAATATTTATATCTTCTCTCTTTTTATTTTTTTATTAAATTTACATATTTAATGTTAAAATCTTTGGTTTGATTTTTATTTCATAAATTAAAAGCATAAAAATTCTAAAATAAAATATAATTTATTAACAAAATTTTTAAATAACTTTTTGACCTTTATCTTAATTTAGAAAAGTATATTAGTAAGTACTTAAGGCATTTAAAATTTTAATTAAATTCATTTCATAAATTTGATTGCTGAATTGGTAAAAAAAGAGAAATTTGCTATATAAAAACAGTTTACATAAAATCCAAACCAAATGTGCTAAGTATTTATAGATTCCAGAAAATTATAAAAAAAATTGATAATTAAGATAAAGTGTAACTAAAATTAAATAATGAAATCGATCAAAAGAATAGAGGAAATTGACGTTAAAGACAAAATTATGATTTAGGAAATCAAATTGAAAAAAGTTTATCAGATTCTAAACTGTTCCTCAATTTCCTAAACATTTATCTTCTCTATGCATACATGCACTTATAATCAAAAAGTTCTATACATTACTAAAAAAAAAAGATTAGAAAACTCTCATTTAAAATTTTTATCACCATAATATAATAGAGTTTAGAGTATGAGCAATAGAACTGATGTATATATTAACCAAAAATTACATGAAAATCAAGAAATGAAAATCTTTTTAAAAATAAATCACATACCTCAAAGAAACAAAAAAAAATGCTTCTTTTTTTTTTTTTGAAAAGATTCATTGTTTATTTTTATTAATCGTATAAATAATTGTAAAAGGAAAAAGAAAATAAGAATAGGAAAATTTAAAGGAAAAAATAGAGTTTTGAAAAAAGAAATATAGATGAAAATTTTGAAGAAATCTAGAATTGAAGGAATAAAGAAAAGAGTTTTGGATGGAATAGAATACCAAAAATCTATTATGTTTTCAATTCTACATCAAGTATTTTAAAGTATAAATAATTGAACATGTTTTTATCCATTTATTTAAATGGATGTTTTTATCTGCTTATTTAATTGGAGATTAAAAATGTATTAGGATGGATTTTTTTAAGTCCTTAAACCAAAATTTTAAAATAGTAATTTCATGCATGCTCTTATTAATTTAAACAAGTTGAAATATTTTAAATGGATTTGAATAATACTAAATAAAGTAAATAATTATATATCCTTTTATCCGTTTTCAAATTAATATTTGAATATTCATTATCTAATGATTTAATTTAAAAGTTTTTGATATTTGATTATTTTGATAATATATAATACAATCATTTATTATTATCTTATGTGTCATCTAAAATAATTATCTACTTAAGCATCCACATAAGCAAATCTTATCAAAATTTTATATATGTTATAATATAAAATTATATATGATTAGCCTATTTTTCTATCCACGAATCATTACTTGTAAATCCATTAAAATCAATAGGTTTATCAAAGTTAAATTACAATAATGTAAATTAAACAAAAAATAAATTGACTCTCAACTTTTTCAAGACTTCAAATCTCTAATCAAGTATTAAAACACGTTTTTTTTTTCTCGTTTTAGTAAATTACAACTTTTCCTTACAATATAATTATTCACTTTTAATTCTACTATAAATCTTTTTCTTTTATTATATTGCGAAGACTAGACAACATTTTTAAATTGTTAAAAAAAATCCCAACTTTTAATTTTAAAGTTTCAATTTTATTCTTTGAAATATATATATATTATATATTTGACCCTTAAATTTTGTAATTTTGGTCATATTGGTACCTAAAAATTTTTTCTATCATATTGGTATTTGAACTTTCAAATCGTTATCACGTTAGTATCTCTGACTAACACCGTTAGTCAACTTTTTTGACATAACATGAATATCCAATAAGATGTTAACACATATTAAAAAGTCCAGTCAGTGTCACATTATCATTGCCACATTTTGCCTCGGTTATCTTTAAAAGATAAAATAGAAGATATTCCAAGAAATTCTAAAAAATTCTAAAATTAGAAAAAATTCTAAAATTTTTTAAAAATTATAGAAAATTCTAAAAAATTTAAAAAGTTCAAAAAAATCTAAAACATTAAAAAAATTTTAAGAAATTCTAAAAAATTCTAAAAATTTTCTAAAAATTCTAAAATAAATTTCCAAAACAAAATTTGAAAATTCAAAAAAAAAAAAACTTCAAATACAAAATTTAAAAAATTCTAAAAGTTTTTAAAAAATTCAAAAAAATATAAATTTTATAAAAAAATTCTAAAAGTCCAAAAATAATTTCAAAACATTTTTACAAAAATTACAAAATTCCTGAAACTTTTTAAAATATTTAAATAATTTAACATTTAAAAATTTTAAAATTTCAAAAAAAATTCTAAAAACTATTAAAAATTTTTAAAAATTAAAAAATTCTAGAAAATTTTAGAAAATTCAAAAAGAATTAAGGCAACTTAAAAATTTTCAAAAAATTTCAAATTTCAAAAACAAATAAAAATTTTCAAAAGAATAAAAGAATGATAGTTTTAATAGAATTTAAAATTTTGTTAAAATTAAAAAAATTAAAATAAAAATAAAAATAATTTTTAAAAAATATAATAACTTTTTAAAAAATTTTAAAAAACTTCTAAAGTTTTTACATATTTTTCAATCTTAGAATTTAAATTTTTTATAAATTTTAAAATGTTTATAATTTTTGAAAAAATTTTAAAATTTTTTAGAATTGTTTAAAACTTTTAAGAAATTTTAAAATTTTTTAAGAAATTCTAAAATTTTTTTGCATACTAAAAAAGTTTTTAAAAAATGTAATTTAAAAAAAAATTAGTATTTTTTATAATTTTTTGAAATGAAAATTTTTTATAAATTTTAAATATTTTTCAAAGTTTTTAAAAATTTTTTAGAATTATTTTGAATTTTTATAAGTTTTTAAAATTTTAGAATTTTAAAAATATATTTTAAAAAATTAGATTTTTTTTCAAGTTTTTTTGAGAATTTTTTAAAATTTTTTAGAGTTTTTTTTTTGTAATTTTTAAAATTTTTTTTGAAATTTTCTTTTAAAAATGATGTGAGTATGACGTAACATTGATAATGTGACATTGACTGGACTTTTTAAATACGTGTCAGCATCTTATTGGATATTTATACTACGTTAGCAAAGTTGAGTTAGTAAAAGGTACCAACATAATAATAATTTTAAAATTCAGGTATTAATTGACAAAAAAATTCTTTAAGTAACAATGTGACAAAAATTACAAAGTTCAGGGGTCAAACATATATTTAACCCTTCTATTTTTCTTGTTTTAATGACAAATATATTGTTTAATTGATTTATTTATAAAAAACATCACTTACAAGTTTAAATAAAATTATTCATTTAGGTTTTTTATATATTTGTTTATAATGAATAAAATTTATAATTTTTGTGAATTTTTTGTTAGTATGTGTGTGTGTGTGTGTGTATATATATATATATAACAAGATCAATATAATATAAATTAATCCCTCAAAATCAAATATTAAGGTCCACCACTAGTTGAAACTATTGAAACCAACCCAACTTTATTTCTCTTATGTTTGTTATTTCTTTTGGGGGAAGTCCAAATTCTTAATAATTTTATATCATTATTTGTATTTTTTTACTTGTGTGTAGATATTTTAAGATTTTAGCTCAAGCGTAAATAACAATCCAAGATGAGGTGAATAAGAATGTCTTTAAATTTTTTTCCTAAAAATTTACTTTCAATAAATTTGAATGAAAATTTTAAAACAATAAAATTTTTTATGGAAATTTGATGAGATTAACAATAATAAAGAAAATTAAAGCACATAGAAATAACAATGAAAATAAAAGAATAAGAGGAGAAAAATCAAATTAAAGGATTTATAGAGGTTCGGTCATATTTTAAAGGCACCTATATATTTTCCTTTGGCTTTTCTTAGCCAAGTTTCAAATCTACTAGTGAAAAATATTCTTGTACAAATTACAATCTCTATCTTATCAAGGTTATGATAGTAACCTTTACTCCTTTGTAGAATTCTACCCAATCTTTACAAAGCTATTAAAAGGATACCCGCGTTTCGATTCACTAAGCCTTTTTTAATACAAAGGCTTTTGCAAACTAGTAAAATCCTCTAATAGGCAAGTTTTTGCTAAGGTTAAATACAAAGATTAACAAACAAATGAAGTTTGGATACAATGACTACAAAAAGAATATGAAATTGAAGCGCTATAGAATTTAAAGCTCTTAATTTTTTTTTATTTTAAAGCTCTTGGTTCATCATTCTCTTCTTTAGAATGTGTTGGAGGCTTTCTTTTATAGTAGGAGATCATCTCTAGTCGTTGTGAGTCGTTAGAATTGAGAAAGAGTTGTTATTTCCTTCAAATTTGTTTTTATTCAAACTTCCTGCATGAAGAGGATCGATCTAATGTTTCTAGGTTAAAAAATATAGCTATTAGAAATGAGGGGATAGATCTTGAGATCAATCAGCTAGCTTGAAAACTAGGGGAGAAGCATTATGACTTGTGGGGATCAATCCCAAAATCGATCATCATGCTTAAAAACAGAGGATAAGTTTCTAGATGTGAGGAGATCAATCCTATGCATGGTGGAATCGATGATTTCTTTCCAAAATTGCATATTTTGACATTTTTTACCAAGGAAAAATGATTTTTTTTCAAACATATTTTTACAAATGATATTTATTTAAGAGTATGAATTGTTAAGAAAAATTTAGGTTCAATAATATTTAGTAAATTTTCAAGAATTGATTTAAATA